CCACCACAAGAGTGGCCACATCCTTCTATAATAATAGCCAAAGAAGACGATGAAAGGCTAAGCCGTCTTAATGTCACAAATCAATTATTATCTGATCACTACACGTGCAATAGAGAAACCACCAAACCCCACCAAAACTATTACAAACCAAAACCTGAAGAAAATTTATATTATTGAATTAAAGAAGGGCATAAACAATTACGGACTATTTGAAAATTACGAAAACCCAAGAGGCTCATTCCAAATTCCAAATGCGAAATTCTAAATTCTAAATTCATGTCTTACCAATAAAATAGCACATTGGCATCCCCCTCAATTAAACAAATTAGAATTTAAATAAATTGTAATTTTACACAACTAGTGCTAGTTTACCTATCTGATGCCTGGGCCGGATAAACACCCGTTCTAAATTACTAGATTCGAAATTCCAAATTGCAAATTCGACATAATCACGTGACATTACAATCATCATGACTGCTGCAGAGAAGATAAGTGTCGCCGACGCGGCGGATTTGACCTATAATTTTACACAACTAATTAGTGCTAGTTTACCTATCTGATGCCTGCATGGGCCGGATAAACGACCGTTCCAAATTACTAGATTCGAAATTCCAAATTACTAGATTCGAAATTCCAAATTACTAGATTCGAAATTCCAAATTACTAGATTCGAAATTCCAAATTACTAGATTCGAAATTACAAATTACTAGATTCGAAATTACAAATTACTAGATTCGAAATTACAAATTCCAAATGCGAAATTTTGAACTACCAAATGTATTAAAGAAGCTAAACAAACTTATATCCTCAACAAACTGCAAGACGCATCAAATAATCCTAAACAGATTTACCAGATTATCAGCAGTCTAACTAAGTCTAAATCCAGAAACATATTACCAGATACTAATAACCTCGTAGGACTTACAGACAATTTCTCCGAATTTTTCCAGAACTAGGTTTTGAGACAGTCTGAATGAGGGTACAAAATGATATCTTTAAGGAAAAGGACGCCAATAAAACTGTATTTCTTGTTTTATTGGATTTTAGTGCAGCATTCGACGCCCTTGAGCGTCAAAGTGTGTTAAGACGACTTCCTGTAGAATTTGGCATCACAGAAACAGCTCTATCTTGGTTTACATTTCCAAACTGTGGTAGTTGTGGGGGGGGGGGTAAAGTTCCGTAAAGTATGGGGTACCACAAGGTTCGGTCTTAGCCCTCCTGCTATTCACGGCCTATACATCATCCCTTGGTACTGTCATACGCTACAATAACCAGAAGTAACAACTGTATGCGGACGACACCCAGCTTTACATAGGCATCAAGCATTCCAAGAATCAAGACGAAATTGATAAACTGGAAAAGTTTTTGTCAGAAATTCGATACTAGATGACGTCAAATAAGCTAAAGTTAAATGATAACAAGACCGAATTAGTTAAAATTGGATGCAAATACCATGTCGGTAAAACAAAAAGCGATTATTTGAAAACTGGTGACACTGTAGTTGAAGCGAACGCTAAGTCTGTACGGAATCTAGGTGTACAATTCAATTGTCTGTGTAATATGTCTAATAACATCACGTCAGTATAGAAGCCTATAACTACCATTCATAATTTCTACTTTTCGCCTCTTCAAAACACGAACGTCGAAAGTAGAAGTTACGACAAAATGTGAGACGACAACACGCTATACAAGCCAAAATCAACTCAAAAATAGCAAATTAAGACATAACACACAGTCATAATAGCGCCCCTCAATTTTTCCTAATTTCTTATTTTAGACTTGCATTTTGGCTTGTATACCGTCTTGTCGACTTTCGACTTAGTCATATTTTTGTATTTATTGAAGTCAGTAAGAAGGCGCCAACACGCATACCAAGCCAAAATGCAACTCGAAAAGTAGAAATTAGGAAATTATCACACCACGTAGAGGTCTTTAGCAGTGGATAGAAACTTGCCCCTGAATTATAGTGAATCCCCCCAAAATGCATCATCATTAACTTTACTGGTTTCGAAAAAACCATAAAACAGCTGATAAAGCTTGTTATCGTATCCTATATTTATTATATAAATTTTGTAAATTTAAATGAATAAAATATTGTTTAAATAAACCAATTTGACTGAAATTTTCAGCAAATTCTCTTTGCATTATCTAGTTTTTAACTACTATAGTGAGAAGTGTCAGCTCTTTATCTAATTTCTCATAATGTTTCTTGAATGGAAGATCCCATTCCTTTTTATTAAATGGGTGATATGATTTCAGTCTGAACTCGCTGATTTAATTACTTGGCCTTCAGGGGACCATTGAGGTTTTGTGGAGTCATTGTTCTAATGGTTTTTGTATTAAAGTGAAATGACGCTGCCGCTGCATATCTGTATCAACATTTTTTCACTGATAATATTAATTAAATTTCATCTCTTTCAGTGTGGTGTGATTATCAAAACCTGATCATATCATTGTCAATACTTCACAAGTTATCCATTAATCAATTTGGGTTTTTTTTCAGGTAAAGTGGTTTGTATCATATTGAATATTGTTAATTTTAGTATTACCTTCATCTACCTTGATCACTTTCATAATTACATTACGTCAAATAAGTAAAGTATCCTTCAAGGTAGTTAGAAGGGTGTCTCTGGTTGGTCAGCAGTCTCAGAATTAATCAAGTACTGTTGTGTACATGTATATATTATCTAGTTATATTGTGTATTTTATCATTGCTTGATAAAGACTAGAGAAGCCTAATCGAAAAGTCGCTCAATATTAAGCAGTAATTGTATTCCATAGAATTGTGACCTGTATATTCTAACTGTTCTCTTGTCAAATTCTTGCAAACAAAAGTTTTGATTCCAAGCTGTCCCCAAACTTTTCATTTTGGCCTTAACCACGAGTGGGGTTCTGCACCTTCTTTGTCATCACACAAACTTTTACGAATACTTGTTTACAAGCATTTGTATGCGGCAGTTTAATCATAATGCCACGCAAAATTACATCTATACTTGAATATTCATCAGTCCACGTAGAAAAATATTTTGATTTTGTTGTTAATTATTGATTTCAAATTGAATTAGCTATTAATTTACATATGGTTTGTCATCATTACTGTAAACTTGAATTTTCATTGGTCCACGTTAAAATAATATTTAAAATAAAACTAGTTGTTAATTTGCATGTTAATACTTGTGATTATGGATTCAAACCTAAGCATTCTACTATACATTGTTCATTTGTTTTAAATTAGGTTATAAGGTATTATCACAATAAGAAATCAGATGTTTTTGTCTGTTATTTGGACGCAAGTCGGGCCTTTGACCGTTTAAATTTTATCAAGCTCTTTAAGTTACTTGTCGAAAGAGGTATATGCCCGTTAATTGCTCGCTTATTGTTAAATTTATATACCACTCAAAATGTTCAAATCCGTTGGGCTCAATGTACAACACAGCCTTTTTGTGTCTCAAATGGTGTTAAGCAGGGTGGAGTTCTTTCCCCAATTTTATTTAGTATATATTTTGATGAATTGTTGTCTCGATTAAGAAACAGCAAATTTGGTTGTCATGTCGGTCACGTTTATACTGGAGCTCTGGCTTATGCAGATGATGTGACGCTTGTTACGCCATCTCGTCATGCCCTGACAAAACTCTTGCAAATAGCCAATGATTATGCTCAAGAGTATGATGTAAACTTCAACCCAGAAAAGAGTAAACTTGTTTTTCTGAATCACGATAGAACCAGGAATGACGATATAAATATTGACAGAATATTGTTCAATGGAAAATATATAGAATTAGTCAAATCTGAAATTCACCTAGGTAATTTACTTGATCACGATACAAAAGAATCTCAAGTCAATAGATGTATCAATAATTTTTTATCACGGGTCAATATAACTTTAAGTGAATTTCGATATGCCTACTCTTCTCTTAAATACAAATTGTTCAAAACTTATTGCATGCCTCTGTATGGATCCCAATTGTTAGACTATTCGCATAAGTCAATTGGTAAGCTGTATTGTTCATGGAGAAAGTGCATTCGACGATTATGGAATTTACCTCAACATGCCCACAGTAACTTATTAAATCTGATATGTTCGGATTATCCTATAAAAGTTCAGTTATTGAAACGTTTTGTTAAATTTATTCACACAGTACTTTGTAGCAAGAATCAGGCTACTTTTATATGTGGTCAGTTAGCTTTAAATGGTAGTTTGTCGTCTGCATGTAATAACTTGAATTTAATTTCATATAGATATAATATCAATAAGTACGACATAGGTAAATTGTGTGTCCATACTATACTACAGAAACTAACATCAATCGATAATGTTGATGATGTTACTATGCAAACTGTAAGTGCAATAAATGATATGATTTTATTAAGGGATCAAACGTTTTGTAAAACGGATAAAAACAATTTAAATGAAATTATTCATCACTTGTCCACATATTAGACATTTAACTATGAGAATGTATATTTTTTGTATATTTATTACTTTTCTCATAGTTTTGTAAGTATTTGTGTATTGTGTACTCAATTTAGTACGAAATAAATATATTATTATTATTAAAAACAATTTGTGGAGGTTTGGACTTGTGGTAGAGGTGAAATGAAATGGGCTTTAACGTCGTAGTTTTCTGATGGTAGAATGAAATGGGCTTTAACGTCCTACGTTTCTGCAACAGCCGGTCGAATGAAGACGGGCATACCCCATGTAGTGTGAGGTGAGTGGGAATTTGTCCGACAGCGGTGCTACGGCCTACTCATTTTTTTGAATTTCAACTGTGCACCTACCTCGGTTTTTAGTCCAATCCGAATGACTAGACACTGATCTTTCCCAGACCCTCCGTCCTGCATTAAAAACGATGGGCTATCTCTTTTATAATCATTTCTTCCATATTAAATTTAAGCCCTACAAAAAGGCTTACAAGTCTTCTGTCTTTTAAAAGCACCCTTACAGAATGCGCACACAATTGCCACACACGAAATGAAATAATAGACAATTTATAAATACGAAAGTTCTTTTTTTATTATTAAACAGGCTTTTTAGACTACAGCTTTCTATCACCTTATATGTAATTTACGATTAGCTTTTACACAAAGTTACATTCATTTTTTATACATATTTATACTATCAATCTTTGTACGTACATAAAGAACTAGTCTATCTACATAGCACAGATTATAATAAGTTAGGCAGTGCAATTTAAGTTCTAGTTTGTTTTTGTTTGTTTTGTTTGGGTTTATTTGGGGGGGGGGGGCTCGATAAAATAATACCCACTGATCGAGTCTCATGAAAATTTCAAAACAGAAAGAATGTTTGTTAGACTAAAACCTTTTGAGAAGAGCAATCCAATATTTTTTGCCTTCAAATCGACTCCACTCCCACCTCCCTAGTAAATAGAAACAAAAGTTTAATAAGTGTCCCCGAAGAAAAACAATACAAGTGTTGCTATGTCCTTGATGGCATTTTATCAATCAAACATTGTTGTACTCTAACTGAAATTTCGATCAAATTGGTTCAAGTATTATTATGAAAGCATGTAACGGTAATTGACCAACAACCATCATAAGCAATGATGTAAGTAAATAGACATTTATGTTTGCTTTGTCTATACCAAAATATAGGTTATAGAGTTCGAACGAAAATAATTGTTCTGAAATTCGTAATACTAAATATGAACCGTACATGCAACTTAATGTTGCAATATTCCAGAAAAAAAGGGCAACTATAGAATAAGACAATACACCATAAAAATGAATATTCTCAATTTATTGATTTCACGGCGCCATGTTTATTGTATTAGTCATATCTTTCAACAACTGGCGGACAATCTATTTCTATCAATGAACATCGACGTCGGGGTTGTATTTAACATGTTTTTTGTAGTAATTATTGTCGAAATTACTATATAAACAAGCCATTTTAGAACCATGAATTGAATACGGAAAATGTTTATTGACAATCTGGTGCAACGCGGCTATAATTTTACAATTTTATCTACCTTATTAAACAAACATTAGTCTAAGGTCTTCTTTTTACAGATATATACATATTAGATATAAGGCAATTTTTACAATTCACATACACATTTTAATACAATAATTTGGATATCTTTTAAACGCTATCTTGAATTATATCATTTTTATTAATAATTTGAAATGCTATTTTAATTATAATTTATTTATTTACAATCGTGGTCTAACACTAAATTTGGCAAATATTTTATTACATCTATTAATAACTAGGCCCTATGTTTAATTTATTTACAATCTGCAGGCTAAAAATTGACTTCAGTAAATATTTTGATAACCTTACTTTCTAAAAACATCATAAATTGGTATGAAATGTTCATACATTAAATAAGCTGTGCCAACTAATATGTAATAATATTGCAAAGGGCATTTATAAGTTATTGGTAAATCACGTGAACAGATAGGCTGGATAACCTGCTCTAAATGACACCAGACTTGTCCTTTTGTCGTAACACTATTCTCCACAATCGCCCGAGGAGAGTTGTCTCCCCTTGCAATTCAAACTTAGCCCGTTTTCCATGAACGCGTTTTCGCCGGTTGCATTTGCACTAGACTGATTTTCGCCTGTTACATGGAAAAGGTCCAATTACATTTGCGTTAGACGGACATTTTTGCCCGCGGATAACGAGACTTACATGGGAGAATGTATTCTGACTTCAAGTCAGAAAATGAGAGACGTAGAAGCGAGTCTGGCGTATAAAAGAAGGCTATAGGTAGTCTATAATTGTTTCATGTCCCAAAAATCATTAAGCATAACATGTTATAATAGTTCTTTTCATTTCCTATTTGTGCATATTGTTGTGTACGTTAAATAACCATGTACTTTATATTTATACAATATATACACTGATTCTGTTAAGTTAATCTTAATCCAAAAGCATTGGATATCTTATTTGTTTTCCATTATCCCATCCATATATCTTATTATCGTTGGGGTTATAGGACACCATCACGTTTAGTTGGTATGGATTTGTAAACCGTAATATCTCAAATGGAGAAACCCTTTTCTCCTCGTAAATGTCAAATGCATAGTCTATGTTGGTAGATGTCTGGTTGGTATTTTTCATGAAATATGCTATACCACAAATAATTATTCCATTGCCATAAGTTCCACGGTCAATGTCCAGCTCCCAGCTTTTCATGACACTCAAAGTTAAGGTATTCAGTCTAGCAACCCGAAGTTTCTTTGTTCCTCTCACCACACCAAAAATTACCCACAGACCATTTTCATCCACCGCGAAATCATAGTAACTTTCTCCGGTGCTATACAGAAAGTGCTTTTTCCTATATTCGGAATTTTTCAAATCCACAAGAGCCACGGCACTTTTTACACTGAGGTCATACCGAACAATTTTATTCCATCCTTTAGCCTGGTAATAAAAACATCCGTGATATACGACATGACCAGTACCAAAAAAGGGAATATTTCCAAGATTATATACTTCTGGGGAATACCCTTTTTCATTGAAATTATTTACATTCGCATATTCATACAGTTTGTCTCCTGATTTTCCACGAGTCACCCATATTTTATCTTTCATTTCAGGTGTGGTTGCGGAAGGATCTTTCATCCAACTGCCGTGAGTAGGCCCCAAATGTCCCTCATAAAGTGGTTTTCCAATGATTTTAATGCGACAATCTGTAAATAAATGAACAGTATTAAAGCATTATAACAATATTAACCGTAAACTGAAATAAAACTACCCAATCGATTTGAGGACACGCCAGATTGACCGAGTCTGCATTGTTGACCAATCACAGCCTAGTATCTATGAGAGTTTTTTTTAAAAAATATTGTTAGATCCTACCATGCTGAATTGTTTTTATTCTAATTTTGAAAAATGTTTCCATCACACGTGACTATCAGAAAAAGAGCTTACGATTCGAAGTTGTAAGAACAAGGGTTCATATAAAGGCGAAATTATACAAACTTATCCATGTCAATAATGTACTACTGTGCAGTAATTTGGACCACACTAACAAGCCCAAATATCATTCAAATGCTAATTGGTAATTTAACAGATGATATCCTAGGGCGTATCAAAATCTCTGTGTTTGACAAACACTTTTTGGTCAAGGTAATAATTATAAAACCGCATCATTTTAACAAGACAATTACAAGAGTGTAATAAGTTATTAAAGATGGGTTCCCGCGTACAAACTCGGTGATTTAATGGTATATATGGACCAAAAACATATTCAAACTAATTAATTTGTCATAATTATGCTTCAAACATTGTAATTGCGAAGGAATGCCCTGCTATTAAAATTCGATCAACCCAGGTCATGTTTACGTCACGTCTTGGGAGTCAGGGGAGCATTCATTGCATACATAAGACGATGTTGTGTTTAATCGTTTACTATTTATTACAAATATCGAATCCTAATTAAATTCTCGGATTATCCACTACCCGCGTCTTTTTCCGTCATTTTTATCTCAGAAAGTATTGTACGTTTAACTCTTCATAAAGTTTATCTAAGATTGGATATCTCTACTTTCCATATATACCAAAATTGCCATACTTTTATTGGAAATAACCACCCGATAAATACTTTTCGGGGAACCCATCTTTAACTAAGATTTTGAATTTTATTTTTAAATGTAGTAAAATCAAACCAAATACTACAACAAGTCACCAAGCGATTTAATCTCTTGTGTTTGGAATCAAATGTGAAATATATTGTAAACATCCAAATTTAAGTGGTTGTTGATTGGCCTATGTATGAATCTCGATTCCTTTATATACAAGAATGAAACGTCTGCGTTATAATCATAGTATGGTGCTGTATCGGTGATTGTATCATTAATTGGAAAAAATAAATTAGACAAAGAATTTACCAAATTCGACCTAACACAATGTTGGCTAATATTTCGCACATTTACGTTATATTGATAAGAAAATATTTAGAACTAATTTGTGATTAACATAAATTGATTTTTATTGTTAACTGTGAATTCCATTAGAAAATATTTGCTATCTTCTTGTACTCAAACTTAAGCCACGACCTTAAACTAGCTAGCCATGACCTTGAACTAGCTGGCCACGAGCTTGTGCCAGTCAGAAAAATTTGCTATCTTTAATCAGCCTTAAATCAAACTAATTGCAAAATATGCACATTAATTTGGAAATTCGGAATAGTTTTAGCTTCGTTATATAAAGACTTTCAAATCTCATCCCTTGTTTATCTCTCAGTAACGTCGTTAAATGTAAACAAACAGTATTTTGGTATAATCTTTAAGTGGCATTTAGCGATTGGGAAACACATTAACAGAATACAATTTTTATGGGAAACAATCACTTGTTTTATTCTAAAAGCACGACGTTTCGACAAGTATCCTCTTAGCGTTATCATTGTGCTTGATAACGATAAGATTTAAGAATCTAAGCTTTCGAACGTTTCGTGAAGAAAATTTGGGAGGTTTAAGGATGCAGTAAAAGGTAAATGGCAATCATAATATATTATCTTTATACACTATGCAAGGACTGAACATATAAGGATTAATAACAATATTAAGACCTCAAGGGGGTTCAGGTCTCTGTTGGGAAAGGGTAAGTGTTACTTAGTACTTACAAAAAAAATAAATAAATAAATAAATAGCATGCACAAGTAAATATGGTGAAGTTATAAGCATTCGTACGTTAATAAAAACAGCAAGCAGATTAGTAGTATGGAAGATCCGAGAAGTCGGGATGAGAGGTTAATCTTGTGAGTAGCACCAGAGTTACTTCCCCTTGCAGATCGGGAACCTGAAAGATAGAGGGCTGAAAATATGAAGATATTTTATAGCACACCAAACAAACAACTTGTGCTGTCTGAAGGCCCATTGTTTGGATTGTAAAGATTAAGCAACGTTCTCCGTGCAATTACAATCAAGTTAATTTAAACTGAAATCAATCTCATATTTCCATATTTCTTTGAATACGGCCAATAAACATACATATAGATACATGTATATAGTTTTAGAAGGTTAATGAAGAAAACATGCTATTTGGAACAATAACTCCCAGATAGCAAGACGTGAACAAAAACAAAACCCATTTTCATTAATTAGTGTGGACACTTATTGACATATAGATTTTTTTTTCTATTTATTTCATTTAAAAGATTTAAATGTACAAAATCATTTACATTTTTCTTGCTAACTGACAATTATCTGGTAATGATATGTATGTATGTGTGATATAATTTGGGAAAACATCTGAATTAAAACTAACATGACATGAATCCCAAGAAACTAGTACACTCATTCGTCTGAATTTTTACTCAAATAATAAATAGTGCCTGGTTAAAACAAAACCATTTGAAATGAAATATGTTAGGCATGAGTAACCAGGATGACTGAGAAATAATATTAGAACATCCTAATTTGTTTCATTTCCCTAAAAGTGGAGTAAATGCTGCTAAATATATAATTTTGGAAATCAATGACGCTCAACAAAGAAATAATACTAGAACATCCTAATTTGTTTAATTTTTCTAAAATGGGGCAAATGGTGGCTGAGATCTAATTCCTGTAGTTCTTGGGGCTAGGTTAAAATTTCAGAAGTAGTATATAAGTTTCTGGTCCTCTGTCACATCAGTATATACTTACACCTGGTTCTGGGGGGTATTGTAGGTATAGGCGTGGTCGTTGCTTCTATATCAATAAGACATATTTTAAATACTATTATAAAAAAAGGAGCTATTTTGTTTAATGGAGTTCGTACGTTATGATCTAGTCATTGGAATGAAATGGGATTTAACGTCCTACTGTTCTTCACTGTCCAGGCTATGAAATGAAATAGAGACTACCGCCCTACCTTTCTGCACAAACTGGGCTAATGAAGACGGCCATGCGCCATAGATTGTGCTATAGGGAAGCTTTACCCTTACAGCATAGTTTCCACTGCCCACTCTTCGTCGAATTGCAACCTGTCATAGGTTCTTTTACGTGCACACCGACGTTAACGCGGGGTGTCTATTTTTAGTCTCACCCGTGCACCGCAAGTCCAGCGACACTGACAATGTGAATTCAGACGAACTTCTCGGCTAACACTAGGATGGAGCAGGAACATCCGGTTTAGCGAGCATAAAAGGAAGTATATTTTGGTTAATTAGCGGTTTAATAAACGCTTTAATAAACACCTTTATTAACCAAAATATGCTTCCCTATTACATAGTGTAAACCAATTAAATTTTACAAACCGAGAAGAGATCTGTGTACTATACTTAATTCAATTTAATCAGATAAATTACTAAATTTATAACGGGAAGATCGATGTCGTTAGATACCTCACTTACCAGTAGTTGTCGTTGTCGTAATCGTTGAAGGCGGAAACTTTCTAAAGTTGTCAGCACAGTGAACTGTGAGAGAGAAAAAAAAAATTTTGTATGTAAATATATTTTGTATAACAACATGAAATAAAATGAATGAATATTAGAAACAAATATACAAGATTAATTTGTGACATCTCTATTTTTATACTAAATCTTTAATATCTGTGTAACGGATTTTTTTATTTGTCTTATTATCGTTGCCTATGGCTAGTTAAACCTATTTTAAATACCAAATGCACACTTTCTGTAATTTCCAAAGTAAGATATATAAATTTAATATAAGACGATATAAGCTCTAATATAATCTTTTACAAAATAAGAATAATAATAATAAAACAAAACCAATGTTACATTTTATTTAATAAACCCGTGTCACTCCAAATCTTGGACTTAGAGCTTTTAACTTTATTGTTTAGGGGGATTTTCTTTTTGTTTATTTTTTTGTTTTTTAAATTCCCCTGGCATAGCAATGCCAAACACATAGAATAAATGAAAATCCAATTTTCTAAATTGCCAGATAATATTTTATTGGTAACCTAAACAGAAAAAAAAAATCGTAATATAAAAAATATTGAAATTTTATGAAACTAAAGAAAGGCTTTACCGTCAATGATGAAACTGGTTTTCTCAGATATTCAATTGTCAGACTACTATATAAAGTGTCAGGATTAGATTGAGTAGTTCATTGGGCAAGAATAGAAAGCATGTAGTGTATTTATCATCCATATCAATATAATATTGGTCGGATGTTAAAACTATCAGTTTTCTCTTCCCTGATTGACAACTTTATCACTTCGGAAATAGAAAAATCTGGTATTTCGCTTGTCCGGGAATACGAGCGTTTTCTCAAGGAAACGTGGATCACAGACACCATTTTAGTTTCGTTCTATTACCGTTATGACGAAATAAGGGGACTAATGTTAATCATAGTATGCAATATATTTCACATTAATTTTTCAAATTATTTCATAGTTGAAACACCCTGTCTAGACAATCCAGACAGTACATTAGTAACGATAAATAATTCATATTTACATTAAAGATTATAAGCTGGATTTTTGTGAAAAAAAAGCGCTGGAGTAAACAGGTCTTGCACATTTTGAGAGAAGAATGCTTATAGGTTGGTGCTATTATATTACAATTTGTCCCATAAGAATGGTCCCACTAATCACTGACAAGAAACGTCGAGGGCGTTTCTTTTGTCAATAGCGCCCAGAATATTCCACAAAGTAACCAACTAGGTCAGACATGTTATAGATATGCACAAGAATGATAAATGACAAACAGAAAGTTATAAAAATATCGTGCGTTTAAAGTTTTAAAATCGTCTTAAATGTCCTAATATTCGTGTTTTCTTCTGGTGTACTAGTTTTCAACGTTTCGAAATCAGGCAACTTTGCGCAGTACGACCAGGTCATTCCTGCATGATGAAAACGGTTTTTGTTTTCTCTAAAACATGTCACTTATGATTTATGATCAGCAAAATTGGTTCATTCATATCATTGTTTCATTTTCTAAGCAGCGGCTGAGAATCAACACTGTGCTGTGCATTAATATATTTGTATTTCTGAGTAACGTGCCACAGAGAAAAAAAAATATCGCTTCATGTCAGAAAGTGACGAAACATGGAATGTCACGGGCAACTTAAGACCATTTCTTACTCATTTTTCAACGTTCACTTACGACCTTTTAGTTTTGTTATATTCACGAAAAACCAATACAGTTTATAGAATAACATTTTATATCGAATGTTATCATGGTGTATTTAAGTTAATTTTTAACTATATGTCACTCACAAAATCATGATTTACACTATGTATTTAAGTTAATTTTGGACTGTATGTCACTCATAATCTTATTTTTAACTGCATTTGACTCTTATATCATGGTGTATACTGTGTATTTAAGTTAATTTTGGACTGCTTGCCACTCACAACCCTATCATGACGTATACTATGTATTTAACTCAATTTTGGACTATATGCAGCTCAAAATGTTATATCATGGTGTATGCCACTCACAACCATATATCATTCCCAAATGACGAATAGTAAACATTATCAATAAATTTGACTTGCTATATATAGTAAGTTGTCGTGCGTTTTTTAATCGGGTCACTTCTTTATGTAATAGAGTTACCTTACCTTCGCAGAAACCCCTATCTCCTTTATCACCTTTACTGCCACGTGGACCACGGGCGCCTGAAAATTCGTATCCTTTTAAGGTAAGCATGTTGGAAAGGAAAACAATCGTCAATATTTATTATAATCATAAATATAAAATATACAGAACATCTAATAATAATCACATATTTAATTAGCAAGGGTAATTATTACAAGAGGGATATGTTGATATATTCTTCATCAGATACAAAAAGGGCATTTTATATCCCTTTTGTATTCATTTATGTATTCTCATCCACCCACCCGTAATAAGCGATGAGTTTATATGAAAAAAAACAACAACAATACAAAAAAAAACAACACAACGTTGAAACAAACATACCTGGCTCAACGGCTTCACCTGAAATTACAAAAAAAAACTATGATTGGGTTTCACGAAATGCATAATCTAATAGATGTCAGTCAAATCACTTTTTCTGGGTGAAGTTATGAGTGTTTAAGGTTTTGACTGTCAAGTACATTTACCAATGCTGCGATAAGTCTCCATTATCCATTTTATCGTTAAGTTAATAAATGGCGAAGGTATTCTAATCCATTTAATATCTAAGCTATCTGATGACACAGAGAGTTGATTATGGGCTTGTAAGTAAGCTGAATACATATCTAAATACTAATTTCTATAGCTTGAAAAAAGAAATGCTATAGGCAGATTTAGCTCTTACATAATGCATCTATATAGTATCACTAAATAGACCAGGAATCGAGTATGACGTCCTCGCCGCCAACTTGGAAGTATGACGTCATATTAAAAATCAAAGTCTGTCGATCTCCAGTTCCCCAAGGTACATGTTCAATCACCCCATGTTTCATGTTGATCCTTCTTGAATTGGCAGAGCTCTATACTTTTTTCGAAGAGCATCGCTCCCAAAAAGAACATTAAGACGAGTAGAGCTTGGGACCCAGTTCTTGGTCCACATAAAAAATGATAACAACAATAACAGCGTGTTGTTTTTATCCTTGGACCCCTCTGGAAGTTAACCACAGATAGTAGGCGGGTACTTGTCTGTAAAATGTTTAGTGTCATAACAGATAGTCCTCAAATTAAAGAAAGATTGGCAAGAGATGTGTCCACTAAATGTATATAATATTTGATATACCCGCGTGAAAGATAATGAACCAAGATGATCGATATGGGATCTCAGGAACCAAAATAGGTTCTCTTGGAAAGACGGTCCAATACACAGACCTAGCATACAAGCTATAATTAGTTAAAACAGTATTTATTACGAACATATTTACAGGCATAAAGAATAGGATACAAAATAAAACAAGCCAAGTAGACTTATATTAATTTCCTTCCTTAAAGATACATTATGGGAGATTAGATAAAGAGCTGGCATTTCTCACTATAATAGTTAAAAAAATAGATAATGTAAAGGAAATTTGCTGAATTTGATCCACTCTGAATCGAGAATTTAGCGATTACATTTTGGGCCTAGCCTCGATCATCATTACTAAAGTCCGTACGATAATAAACATAGTCTCAATTGTCCATTATAATCCAGTAAATATTGCAGGCTAGCGATGACATCGAGAGTTGATTATGGTCTGGATAAGTTAATTAATGTCTAATTAATAAGTTAGATAACATTTCAGGCCTAAAGAAAGACCTGCGTGTTGGCAGATTTAGCTCTTGCATAATGTATGTTTAAGTTATAATTGGTCGAAATACGTACTCAACAGAAATACAACTGAACAAAGTCTGGATCTACTTCTGTTGAGTGGAGCCCTACAGTTTTGATATTTGTGTTTATTGTCTCTGCCTGCATCATATTGTGATCCAGTACTTACTCAGACTGATTTGGATTCCCCATCCGCTATGAAACATTTAAGGAACTGTTGCTGATCCCCCCTCATTAATTGTCTTAGGTATCAGATAATGGGAATCAAATATGGAGAAGTATCCACTATTGTAGACCAATTTTACTTACAGAAGCATTCTCCCTTTTCTCCAGACCAACCTCGGTCACCTCGATCTCCTTTTAGTCCCTTTAAACCTGGCACACCTGGTACTCCGCTTGTTCCTCTCTCACCCTTCTCACCAGTTACACCATTATCTCCCCTCTTACCTCTTTTGCCTGGCTGTCCATCCGTACCATTTCTACCAGGTTCACCTGTAAAAATTCAACACATGAATCAAATGGGAGTGTGCGTGCGTGCGTGTGTGTGTGTGAGGGGTGGGGTGGGGGCGTGCTTTCGTGAATACATCTATGATAGAAATGTACATTGCTTTTGAGTCAATTCTGTGTGTGGAATAAATTAATTGGTTATTCTAAACTTTATATTGCAAGGTTATGAGGTTAACTTTATATTGTAAGGTGAGGTTATTCTAAACTTTATATTGTAAGGTTTTGGGGTTTACTTTAAACTTTATTTCAAACCACTGTTTCCATACATTTTCTGAATCATAATAAATTATCATACCTGGAATTCCAGGTACACCATTTTTTCCGTGTTTACCAGGTGGACCAGGGTTTCCTGGGGGCCCCATAGGTCCAGTTGGTCCTGTAACAAACAGACAAAACACATTGTAATAATACTAATAATAAAACGCGTTTTCGACAATAATGAGTTAATGAGTAACAACAGCAAATGGATTCGTCACATGAGACTAATTCCATATTTATAAAAAAAGGTATATGGAGTATGATAAAATAGGTATATGGAGTATGATAAAATATGTACATTGAACATGATAAAATAGGTACATGGAGTATGACCAAATAGATCTGTAACGATTGCAGACATACTGATCTTAAAGTGATCCAAAAATTTGTGATAGCAACCTAGATGGTAAATATCACTGTTTCACAATTTCAATTGAACAGTTTGTCAAGGATCAAGAAGTCTTTATAGAAAGCATAGCTGATAAGGTCAGAAACATATACACCGGAAGCTGGTGACTGGGAAATGGTGCTACAGGTAGATTGATAATTAACTATGGGAAGATTGAATTCGACACATATGACATTATAGCTGACAATTTTCGTTTTGGGTCAAATTTTCGAGACGCAAATTCCCAAAAGGGTACACAATTGTCACACACATTGGTACCATCCTCCTGCATATCACATTCGTATTTATACCTAGGATTTCATTTTTATTTTTTGTTCCTTCATAATTAGATCTCTGGAATAGACAAAAATGTCAAAAGAGCTAAAGGTAGCAGTGGTAGAGACTCTGGAAAGTGATCCTGACTGTAAATTTTGGGGTAATTCTTTTTGATTTATGTCGAATCCATATCTGATTAATGTCACTGCGGGGGTATATAGCTGACAAATTAGCAGCCTTTAAAATAGATGTTAACATTTGAGAAAGGTACTTTGCTGGAGAATTGCTATATTAGGCTGTCTGAATGATATCATTCTAAAATTACAAATCCACCTACCTATTTTTTCAGATATGTTCACCAAAGTAGATAAATGCCATCTACCATTATATATTTAGGTCAATTTGACGTGGGATCAATAATCATGTAAGAGATTGTAATTGAGAATTTTTTTTTTATTTTTTTTTAGAGAAATCTGTGACACATAATATTATTGACATGTTGACACCCTTAACATCTTGTAGTAATGAAATGAATTGGGATTTAGAGGGCGGTGCCCTACCACAGATAGCCAGTTGTGCTGTCGATTAAACCGGGCGAAATGTTTAATGTTTAACAGAATTCTAAGGTGAGGTGTCTACTCGACACAAACTAGGTCATTTCGGGACTAACATATGGTTCAGTTTTATTTCAATAATTCGCTAGCGAGTAAGGGTCTTTAGCAGATGGGAGGAAACATGAGGATCCGGAAAAAACCCACTAGATTGGACAGGCGCCCACACTCCTTGTCACGTACAAGCGAGTAATCGAAAACACGCCAGTTGACTCAATGACAGATCTTATGATACAACCATTCGACAATCCAGCCACGCTTCTGAGGTGAAAGAAAAGGGTGTGAATGGTTACGTCACAATATATAGTACAGGAAATTAGATGATAACGTATGTGGTTTTTGACCTTAACTATTTTGTTGGCAGGCAAACTGGGAGAAGTGTTTAACGTAATTGTGGAAAACACAAAGGTGTTTATGGTTTACTGAATATTCAATAGAAATTGAAACAGAAACAAACTACGGAGTTCGGTCATAAAAAATGGACAATTTTTACAGTGTAGGTCATCGGCTGTCCTAGATATTAAATTGATTAAAACACCTGCGTCATTTAATAATTTAACGTTAAATTGGATAATTGACACACTCTGTCATTAATTGACTGAAATTTTCCATATATTATACATTTTTATAATCTATTTCTTAACCTATTATAGCAGATCTCTTGAAGTTTTGTTAATTTTATTATGACTTTAAACCACAATTCATTTCATTTCAATTTAGTATACCTATTTTGGTGTCTTTCACGTGAAATGTGTCTATTACTCGTGGCCATAGTATTACACTGGGGGCTGCATCTGTGACCTCGCTATAATTCTTATACTCTGCGACATTATTGTAATAATTGCTTTGATGGGTGCAACGAACAGAATATACGGAGACGGGGACATGATATTATGCCATTCACCATGGCGGTATTTTCCGGCACGTGGAATAAAATATATCGGAAAATAATAGTAGGGGTGCCAGGATAAAAAATCTGTAAACACTAAAATTCACAAGATACACATACAATATTTAGACATAGCATAATTATACATGCACCTGGTGAGCCTTTAAATCCAGGGAAGCCTAATAATCCCCTCGTACCATTATCCCCCTTATCTCCCTTTTCACCTGGTTTACCTGGAATTGTTAGTGGGTTAAAATAGATATAAATAATTAATATAATACATGCTTGAAGATATGACTGTGCAGATGTATTAATATAGTATGCATTAAGTTAATATAAATTCCGAATATTGATCATATTTTGTAATAATTTGAATGTCGCTAGTTCAAAAAAGTAATTAAGGCTAAATTTAAATTTAACATAGAAAATTAGTAGCTCTTATTGGCAATAAATAATAAAAGGCAAACAATAAAAAAATAAGAAGTATATTATCTTCAAAAATATCGGTATTAAAATTATCAATAGGAAAAAAATAATAAAAATAATTAGTAACATATTTGTTTGTCCCTGGTTAATTAATGGTAAGTAATGGTAAGTGTTTCTTCAAAATTATTGGTATTGTAAAATGAATCGATAGTAAAGAAAATTAAATACGATAATCACTGGATAAAAAAAAAACAAAAAAAAACTATTATTGATAATATTATTATCGAAAAACAAATCATGTTGTTCATATTTAAAAACACTATATTATTGATAATATTATTATCGAAAAACAAAATCATGTTATTTATATTTAAAAACATTTTATCCTGCCTTTTATTTCCAAAGTCTCCGATATTCATTTGAGGGAAATGAGTCCATTGAAAACAATAATACTGTTAAAACAATATCAGCTCAAGATGATTCAATTCTATGTAGTATTTACAAAGATATGACGAATTGAAAATTCTGCAACAATCGGCACCATTTGCAGACGGTATGAAAAAGACAGCAACATGTAGATGTTTTGGGTAGAATCTTTTGATTTTTTTAGTTTTTTTAATTTGATTGAATTGTAGCCGGAAGATATCTACAGTTGATATTTTGGTCTTTGTTTTCTTAATTAAATAATCGATAATCGATTTGATTCTGATTAAGTCGTGCAATATTAGATATTGTCAAAAAAAATTGCAACTGACGACCAGCGGCTCAATTTGATTAAAATACAAATCTATATTTCGTTTCGTTTTTTAATACTTTCGATGGCCTCCACTACATAAAGATCTGACCGGTTGTTGTGGTCGGTCGCGTCAGGGGTTATACGAGCGGCTTTTGACCCTATAACGTCAAACATTTGATTAGCCAATCCGCGTCGATGTTTCTAGTGGAATACCCACAGTTTCGTGAACCACACCACAAGAACTCGCCGGAACAGACTGTTTCATTGGCTTATCAGGAAGAGGCTTATATAACAACTCTTCCAGATCTTAGTGTAGTAAAGACAAGCAAAACAAATTTTTGAACTATAAAAAACGAAACGAAATAGGATCTGTGTTTTAATCAGATTGAGAAGCGGCTTTAATAAAACTAAAGTAATTTCATATACCAGTATTAATTCGTGGGTTAGTCGAAGAATATAAGATAGGGATGTTTGTGATTATTTTGATTTTAGTATTTAGAATGTTGTGTTGTTGTTTTTTTTTTTTAAAAAAATATACCTGGAGGTCCATCTTTCCCATCCTTTCCGTCTCTGCCAGGCTCTCCTTTTCTTCCTGGCACACCGGGTTCTCCAGCTGGCCCAAATCCTCCTTCGGGACCAAGATCACCTAAAATAATAAGGTCCGAACATTTAAAATATCCCCATGGAGACTTGAGGTAGAAACGTATTTAGTTGTTAAACAGGACAGGCTGTCATGTGTGAAGCGTCGTTTGATTTCCTGTTCTTTGTAAACACCTGTAAAACGTTTGTTTCTTATTTCTTAAGGAAAAAACTTATTTAAAATCCAAAAGTACTTGGCCCCAAGTTCACAAAGCATTCTCAGACTTAAGTTGAGAATTTACTCAAAATTGGTCTCCTTATTTTAACTAAAATATAGACCTTTTATAAAACCTTTGTTGTTTTAATGTGTCAAATACATCAATAAGCAACTATGTGCAAAGTTTCGTGTTTCTGGATCAAAGATATTTTTCATAATTAGTGATTGAAAGTTGAGTAAATTCTCAACTTAAGTCTGAGAATGCTTTGTGAACTCGGGGCTTGGTTGCATTGTTCAAACGCCTTTAGTGTCAAATTGAAATTTGAAATAAAACATATTTCACGTAGTTCATGTGGCTATTTATTTACCAAGGCCCCCCCCCCAAAAAAAAAACAACAGAAAATCACATTGGTGTGGCCTTAACAATATTTTTAGAATCAGAAAAAAAGTGTTCTTTTAACAAACCTTTCGGGCCTGGTGGGCCCTTCAAATAATCATCGCTGCGTAAATTCATTGCCACTAATCCCGCATCTACTGAATCTCCTTTCTGGCCTGGAGGGCCGGTAACTCCCGGGAATCCTACAGAGATAGAGAGATCATCCAGCGTGGATAAGAATAACATTGATTTTTTTTTAAAGATTATAGCATGTGTTAGAAGACTGAAGTAATCTTCAATGTTAGAGACCCGATCAATCATGTCCATATCGTAGAGAAGAACAACCAGCTTAAATTACAAGAAACAGATTAGAAAAATCGAACAATTTGAAGGAGTATTTTCCTCTTTATGTATGACATTCCAACCCGATCAATTAAATCCAATGCTGTTTGCTTTCTTGGAATGAATAGATTAGTGGAATACCCATAAAGAGGGTGCGTGAGGTGGGGGTACAGTGTGAATTTAAACGCCCATAGAACAGTTTGATTCAGAATTCTGATACAGACGTAAATAGCTCTAGGCATCGATTCCGAATACAAAACTTGGCGAAAAATAAATGCATAATCGACTGGGAATTCACAGTAGCAAACTCCAATTTAAGCAGTATGAATATGTACAGGGTTCTAGTGACAGGAGCAATAACTCCACTCAAGACTTTTGATTGCGTAATATTTATACGCATAAAGTAAATGCACGACGAACAGCTATTACTTTAGTTTATCTTAAAGATATATTCTCACGAAAGTATTTATCGGGTGGTTATTTCAATAAAATTAAAGCAAATTCGGTATAAATGGAAAGTAGGCACTACCAATCTTACTAGATAAACACCCACGGGGCAAGAACTGGGCCAAAATGTTAGGGTATTGTCTGCCAGCTTGACTAAGTGAGCGGTTGTTATTTCTTGATCGAATGGTAAGACGGTTTGGGGAACATAGAGGGATTTAACCGCACACCAGACTCTGCAATTAAACGGCGGTAAAGAAGCTGACAGAAGATAACCCAAGAATTTTCTTAGGCTTCAATATGTATATAGCAAATGAACAGTAAGTAACGACAAATACATTCTGTAAATGGGTCCTCTCTCAATTAAGTTACGTGAAACATATGGCATGTGTTTTTAATCCGAATAAATCATCAAATCACCCAGTTTGTACGCGGGAAGGCCTCTTTAAAAACGACAGGAAATATTTAAACAGATTGTGCATTTTATCCCAAATATACTTTTTTCTAGATTGGATCAACTGGGTTTTTTTTATACTGTATGAGACAATATTTTGTTCGGGTACACACACTGAACAGCTTTAGACGCAAATACAGAGGTCGATAACAAGACAACACAACAGTAAAATTAAGAGAAAGTTCGCGTGTCACTTTTGTCGTGTTGTCCTACGATCGACCGTTACAATGTTTCAGACAAAAATAGGATTATCAAGCCCACGAATATTTAAATGAATTTTCTAATTATGATTATCAAATCTGGGTATAATAAAAATTAAAGCGTGCAAGATATTTCAACTTGCTGTACAGCTGTGACTTGAGAAACATTCCATAACAACCGTTATAAGGATAACTCGTCCATGTTTAAAACTCATATCAGTTTTCCTTTATTAATAATATTAAATGCTTTAACCGTGTTTATAACTTGTATCCACTACATGACCAGCAGTTTGTACATGTATGTGTATGTTCACATCGATGCTAAGGAATGACATGAATTCGCCGTGAAGAATTTAAAAGAGTATTAATGACCAACCGAAGATGACTTTCTCATCGAAGCAATCTCATTTGGTTCGGGCAATGGTTCGCCTATGGTTTTGTAATCAAAAGGGGGGGGGGGTGAATGGCCGAATGGTTAGCACGTGCGCGCGTGATTTCGATTCCCCAGTTGTACGTGGCAAGGGGTAGGATCGCCTGTCCAACCTCGCGGGTTTTCTCCGGGTCCTCCGGTTTCTTCCCACTGCTAAAGACCCCCACGCGCAAGCGAATTGTTGAAATAAATTGAAACATGTGTTAATCTCGAAATGACCTAATTTGTGTTGAGTGGATGTTAAACCCCATTTCTCTCTCTCTTTGTAATCAAAATGTATCACTGTTTACATGTGTTGTAGCCGAATAAGTCGTGGCGTGGTCGATTTCCCGGTTGTACGTGACAAGGAGTAGTTTCGGCTGTTCAACCTCGAGGGTTTTCTCCGGGTCCTCCGGTTTCCTCCCACTGTTTAAGACCCCTACGCGCAAGCGAATTATTGAAATAAAAATTGAACCATGTGTTAGTCCCGAAATGACCTAGTTTGTGTCGAGTGGACGTTAAACCCCATTTCTCTCTCTCCGAATAAGTCGGAACATGGAAAATACCCGCGATGGTACGAAAGCCGAGCCTTCATGTACACAGTAGCGTGCTCGCAAGAGAACCCTTGACAGTTTGCAAACGAAAAATATTTACTGGCGATTGTTCTCGGTTTTGTTCCTTGATAAACTTAAGGAAACTTTGACTTTCATCTGTTTAATTGTTTCATGAAAACACAACTTTCTACATATATTCGTTTGTTTATTTACTGTAACAAGAAAAATTTATTCGTTCGTTTGTTTGATAACAAGAAAAGTTTTCTACATTTATTCATTTATTTGTTTCCTAACAATTCTACATTTATTCGTAAATATTTATAAATTTATTCGTTTGTTTATTTGAAAACAAGAGCAAATTTCAACTTCTATTAGTTTCTTTGTTTCATAACAGGAACATTTCTATATGTATTCGTTTGTTTGTTTGTTTCATAACAAGAAAATATTTCTAAATTTATTCGCTTGTATATTTATTTCATAACGAGAGCAACTTTCTACATGTATTAATTTGTTTGTTTCTGTAACCAGAAAACATTTCTACATTTATTCGTTTGTTTATTGATAACAAGAAAACATTTCTTCATTGCTTCGTTTGTTTGTTACTTATAGCATCTCCAATAATAATGACATAATAATTTATCGCAAATTCCCTTAAAAGATACATTATGGGAGATTCGATAACGAGTTGGCAGTTCTCGCTATAATAATTAAAAACTAGATAACGTAAAGCCAATTTGCTGAAAATTTCATTCACATTGATCTACTATGAATCGAGAACTAAGCGAATAAAATTTCTGCCTCGCCTCGGTCATCATTACTAAAGTCAGTGCGTTAAACAGCATAGTCTCGATTGTCCATTTAATCGTTTAATCGAGAAGGAAAGTTATTCAGTAAATCGGATCACAATCCACTTAAGATCGCAGGCTAGCGATGCCATCTAGTGTTGATTATGGTCTGGATAAGTTAATTAATGTCTAATTAATAATTTAGATAACATTTCAGGCCTAAAGAAAGACCCGCAATAGACAGATTTAGCTCTTGCATAATGTATGTTTAAGTGAAATGTGGAATTACAGCTTAATCAGAGACAAATACCCATTTCCCATTACCCGCGAGGTATCTTTATTTTCTTTTTTGTTCTTGTACATTTGGTCTTCTCAACAATCTTTAATCGATTCTACTTTCAATTCCATTTTAATCAGAGAATTCAAATTGATTGTCTGGGCAAACAATCGAAAGCTTAAATATATCCCAAATATAAGCTCGTACCTTACATAATAATAATGGCTATTACCTCCAGTTAAAACTCAATTATTTAACAACCATGGAACAATATACCCGTACAATAAATTTATTAACTATTACAATAATGCTCCTTGCCAATGCCCCAAGTCTTCTTTCTAAGACAAACATCATACCCATATAATAACAGGACGTTTTGATATACGTGTAGCTGAAAATGAAAATACTAAAAGCTTTTTTCCGCTTTGGATGACAATTTCGATGACTACCAAATATCTATCAAGTTCTTTGATAGCTTGTCCAAAAAGAGTCAGTTGTATCAAACAAAACCCAAGAAGGCCATCACTAGAAATTCTGAATATAAATCTGCAGTCGCACGAATGCCTTTCCACTCCTAAATAATGTTCATTATATTATCTTGCTTATAACCTTACCGAGAAAACTCTTGCGATATATGTTATGTATAACACTTTAAGTATGTGAAAACAAAAAAGGTACGAATTTTATTAATGAGGGAATAAGCATCTATGAGGTTAATATATGGCAAAGCTATTCTGGTTCTGAAGTCGGTGTAGCCCCTGGGAAATAAATATGCACATATAATTCTGTTTTTAACACGAAGCTTAACGACAAAAAACAATTCAGCTTGATAAATGTTTTCAAATTCAGGTTTTTTTTACATCCCTAATATTTTTGTTCACCAAATAAGGTTAGCTTTATTACGTCAAATTTACAGTTGATCAGATACGTATTTATAAAATAAAAATGAACTTTCTGAAATTGTCGTATTTGGACTCCTGTGTGTCTCCTTTAGTTATCATTATTATCACCACCAACGCCCCTAATTACAATGCTTATATACAAAAACAAGCTTAAAAGTTATCGGCATAATTTAATGGAAAATACATTTTTAGCCTGACAATAATCGCTTTTATATTTTAAAGTGTTAAAGTTGAAGAGAATCGGGTGGGCGTGGGGACGTGGTGTTTATTGTGGAAGGGGTCGTGGTGACTATCGCGATGATTATGGGGGAAGGGGTCGCGGTGATTATGGGAAAATAGATCGCGGTGACTATGGGGAAAGGTTCGTGGTTTCTATGGGGAAATGGGTCGGGTGACTCTTGGGAAAGGAGGCGCTATGATTATGGGGGAAGGAATTACGGGGACTATGTAGATAGGGTTAGGGCATCTTCAATAGAAGGCTTGATCTCGATTTAAGTCCGTACATCTTATCAGGGCCTTCACGTTATACCCTACATTTTTCGACACTAATATCGATTGGTTTCCGAACAACAGAAATGTCTCGCTGTGATAATCGAGTTGCAAAGTTCAAGGTTCGTTCAATGTCAAGGTTGCTGGAACTTTCTGCTTTTCGACTATGATGATAATGCTATGACCCACTTAGTCTAAACCTTTCTAATTTACTTGTTGTTCTTTGGTTTTCCGCGAGTTTTTCAACAACAAAAAAAACTTTCAACGACTATACACGAATCTATTCCAGTATGTGTCTGTATCACGTGTTTGTGGTAAAGGGAGATAATTACCTAAAAGTTTGGGAATTTCAGACTAATCTATCAACGGCTAGATGTTGTAAAACTCACAATCTTTGCTTCAGGGACGTGTGGTTATGAGGGACCACGAGGAAAGGGTCGCGGTGACTATGGGGATGCTATAATAAAACTCCATCTAAATAACCACACAAAAGCTATTATAGCCCTATATAAATTCATCAGTTGTGTAAAAGTAGTTTTATAAACTAATCAATCACGATTTCTTTTATAGGACTATAAAATCCAATGTTAAGAATGAGTAATCATAGATTATGTTTTAAGATTAGTGGAGAATTTAATGATGTGGTTGAGAGTATTAAAGAGCAATAAAACAGATTGAGTTTGATTGAGCTGTTGATCTGATGCTAATATCCATATAAATCAACGTATTTGTAATAAATATTGCTGTTTTAACACCAGGGCCGTTTTTCACGAAAGCAGCCTTTGAATTGACTAGGGGCTTAAATTTGTACTAGCATTTTCATTCTCGGCCATTGAAAACGCCGAATTCTTCAAACATTTAAGTTTAAGTGTTCGTGAGTAAACCCCAGATAGCATACATTTGCATAAATACGAACATATATCAACTTTCTGATTATAAAGACACATACCTGAATTTCCCTTTACTCCTTTCTGGCCTGGCATACCCGGTGGACCTACAATAAATAAAATTGTATCAATAGCAGTTAATTTACCAGGCGATAGTCGCCCGCTGTTATATCGAAAGTCTGTTTAGACAAAATGAATCAGAATTTCCTATGGTTCGAAAGACTAATATCAACGACATCCTTATAGTAGAGTCGTTAATTTTGTTTAGCATGGAAATTAATTGATCAATGATTCACAGATATCCTAGCACCACACCATTGCGTTTCAAAAGGTGGGAGCGGGGCTACAAGAGCTGATATTTTACCTGTATTGCCTGTATTTACCATCAAAGTACCACCTACCTGTATTTACTATTAAAGTACCACCTACATGTATTAACTGTATTTACCATCAAAGTACCACCTGTATTTACCATCAAAGTACCAACCAACTGTACTTCCTGTATTTACCATTAAATTACCACCTACCTGCAGTACTACCTGTGTTTTCCATCAAGGTATACCACCTAACTGTAGTACTACCAGTATTTACCATTAAAGTACCACCTACCTCTATTTACAATCAAAGTACCGCGTACCTGTAGTACTACCTGTATTTACAATTATAGTATCACCTACTATTAGAACTAGTTGTGTTTACCATTAAAGTACCACCTACCTGTAGTACTACATGTATTTACCATTAGAACTACCCACCTGCAGGTCCATGAGCTTTACAGTATTCTTTAGTTTGTATGCAGAATGATTTCAAGGCCACAAGCTGTAGAAGAAAAAAATAAGCTTTTTTGAAGAACAATCACATTCAGTACTATTATACGACCTTTATAAAATCATTTTGATATGCTCGTTGTCGTCTGTCGTCACTACTGCATTAGACCAAATCTTTATCAGATGTGTTTTATTAGAGTTTTTTGAAGGGTATCTTCGCCCTGAACTGATATAACATCATTTCCAAATTTAGCTTGTGGCCTTATAAAGTATTAGTTGTCAAAGCTAAAATGTCTAACGTGTTGCTTTGAGTAGATTCTATTTATTCTATTTATTAATTAAGAAATGTGATAAATTTTGGTTAATATCGTGAACCCTGGTTAACAACAGTTTTCACTCATAAATATTAGCTCCCAAGAAAAAGTAACGTCCAAGCTATATAAGCCACCCACTCCCTAAAATCACAGCCATCCACCCTATTGTTAACATTAACCCCTAGAGTGGCCCATTCTGTTCAGGACCGACATTAATATCTTGGACAGTAAGGGGGGCAATCCTCATTTATATCAATAACGAATTTAAACTATAGAGTTTAACTGACGATAGTATGCTAATCATGGAGCCACAAATAATCTATATGACTATTACTATGACAGTCACTATGACTATTACTATAGACGAAACTAATGTTTACTGTTTAAAGATGATAGTAATTTATTTACAGCAAATAATAAATAATTGCTATAGACTATATCAAATGAAAACTGTAGCCTCTGTTGATTTTATTCATATTTTATTCATTATCTAGGGTTAAAATCGTTTCAACTGTGCACATCCCGAAGTAAAAACCACACGTGATAAACTTCTACGACTAAACCACTGTTGCACTGTATTTTAACCTATTTCCACATGTTTGTGGTATACGAAAACTATATTTCATAGCACGTGCTGCTGGGTTGTTTATTTACATTCTTGTATAATCACAAGCATTTTACTACTGATAATGAATAATATAGTTTAAATATCTACAACGGCTAGAGTTCCCCTTTAATGGCTATACAGATTCTACTACACAGAGTATAATAAAATAAATAGCCTAAAGACGTGTTGAAATTCACAAAGATCTACACAATCAAACAGTATGATAAATGATAAAGAAGAGCTACATATTTAAACATATACAACAGCTAGAGTCCTCCTTTAATGGCTATACAGATTCTACTACACATAGTATAATAAAATAACATTTAAATAGCCTAATGACCTGTTGGGATTCACAAAGATTTACACAATCAAATAGTATGATATATGATATAAAGAAGCGCTACATATAAATAGAGAGGGCGTGGTTACCAGATTACAACTAAAATATCTATGTCAAAGATCGTATAACAGAATAGGAATGTATTGTAAAAATATATAAATATAATTAATTTCATAATAACATGCATAAGTTACCACATCATCCTGTGAACGCTGTAATGAAACAACAATAAATTAACAATCTAAAACAAAAAATTCTAAAATGTCAACGAGAAAATCAGATTTTACCCAAAATATATTTGTTATTACTGGATTACTTTTAGGAGTTTTTTTTTTCTAAAGTAAAACGAAGAGAATCCCCCAAACTGTATCTCATTCTTAATTTGTAATTTTATAACGGAAGCAGTCAATATAAAAAGTACGATTAAACAGTCAATATAAAAGTATAAAAGTACGACTAGCGTCTGTAACTAAACAGGCAGTATAAAAGTACGACTCAAGTCTGTAACTAAACAGTCAATATACAAGTCTGTTAAAGGCATACTACTCCAGAATAAAAAGTGCGCATACACAGAACCGCGCAGATTTTGCTTAATTCGTATTTTTGAATTATAAAATGATGAACAAACATCATTTTTATCTTATTATAAAAATGGCAGGTGGTGAGGCCTTGTCCTTGGTGAGAATGAATCATAAAATATCTTCTTTTTTTGGATATTTTCTCTTATTATGATATCATTATGATATATAATCCGCCTCTAATGGTGTACTTAATGTTTGACCGATTTTCGTTCAATACCCACACTGACGCCGTGATCGACGGTCTTCTATGTCTCATTAAGCAGCAGTAGGCATTTTGAGGGCGAGCCAAGGGTTAACATTGATTTTATTACATGTGACCCTGACGACAGAATATCTTTTATCTCAGTGGATAGAATTGTCAACTTGGGATTCGGAGGTGATTCATCATCGACAGAAGTTCTCCCCAATCGCTGTCTAGCTGGAGAAGCAACATGAAAGAAACAAGATTGAAAAAAAAAGCTGTAGATTATCACTAGACAATTCTATAGAAGCAAATTATCAATATTTTCCCGCCGCATCATATGTCTTATTGGCATCTCTTTGGCTATATTGATACCTATATATATATACGGTGTCCGGTAAGGGACACAAAATAAAACAATTTAATAACTAGCTGACCATCGCTCTCCATAACTCAAGTGGTGACTTGTGCCGTGCAAGGGGCATAACATGTTTGTACTTTCTTGAGCACCTGATACCAGCTAAAACAAATCAATCTTAACTAACAGTTAAAATTGAAAAGTTCAACGGACGAATGGTAAAATAGCTTAACTGCAGCAATTCGAATGTGGTGCTAGGTGTTTATAAACGGTTAAACATATCCTGCCTCGAGCGCAGACAGCAGGTGGTGATAAAGTTGAAGGGAGGGGGGGTGTTTCTATGTTGACACCTGAAAAACATACCTAATATCTACACTACTACAAAAACTAAACTAAGTTTCTTTCATTCGGTGGGGGTGGGAGTGAACGTCCACTCGACACAAAATAGGTCATTTCATGAATTACATATGGTTCAGTTTTATTTTAATAATTCGCTTGCGCATAGATGTATTTAGCATTGGGAGGAATCGGACGACTCGGGCATAAAACCCAGGAGATTGTATTGGCGACCCTACTCCTTGTCACGTACTCCTTGTCACGTTAAACCATACGGCCACCCAACTCCCCTAAGTTGTTCATTATTTGCCACTAATATGTAGCCCGGGGAACACAAGTTATTATCTGACACACATTACTTAGTTATATGGTACACCCCCAGTACTAACTGTCGCATTCTAGTTAGTAATCCGGTATGACAAATGTTATATTGTGTCCCTAACAGGGTTCCGTATATATATGTACGTACACAAGTAAGATTTAATATGTAGTAGAATCTCTTGAGACATGACTTGCCGCCAACTCGTGTCACAGATTCGTCTCCTAGGAGCTATCTGAACTCACAGCTATAATATATATACACCCAGACATGTACTAATCATACAGTAGTGTCGTGAGCCTCCCAAATGAAACAATATGTCAATACTGGTACATAATTCACTTATGAGTAGTCACTATTAAATCAAGCCTCGTATAGTCCTTTCAATATAACCGCGTTTCTTTTCTCACAACAAAGATATATTTTACAACAAAAATATTGGCTTTCTCACTTTCCTCAAAATAAATACGATAATACTTGCTTTAAACTATCGATAATAGTACATCAACATTCTTACTTTCCTCAATGCAACCATAATAATACAGCACAATTCTTACTTTTCCAAAATCATCGATAATAGTACATAAAACATTCTTACTTCCTCAAATCAAAGATAATAAAACATAAAGCATTCTTACTTCCTTAAATCAAAGATAACAATACATAAAACATTCTTTTTTCCTCAAATCAAAGATAATAATACATAAAACATTCTTTTTTTCCTCAAATCAAAGATAATAATAATAGAAGGATAATAGAATTAAGAAACACGAACTTAATCTGTACCTCTACTATATACAGCAGTGTACCAAATCTAAAGTCTCCGACCGGTTTCACCAGCAGTGGATTTATAAGAAGAGGTATCGGGTATTCTAGATTCAAAATAAGTATTCTCTGCACCGATAATGGTACCCGCTACAAATTTTGGTACCTTATTATAAAATATTTTAATGCTATTAAAAATTTATGAAATAGTCTATTTGAAAAGTCCTGTCTGATTGTTTTCATTCCAACAAGATAGGTGCTTTAAGACTTCGTTTTATGTCAAGTGAAAGAGTGATAGTTGTATCAAGTCAATGACGTACAAGTCCACTCATTGTAACTAATTCCCACAACCTGTCTGTACAAAACTGACATGATGTCACAGTTGCCTGTCAGCTCTAAATTTCTAAGTTTCAATCGAGTTTCTCGTGTCATTTCTAGCATGCAGTAGAACATGGCTCGCAAACAGGGCCGTAACTAGCTCAGAGCAACGAGGGGGCGGGAAGTGTTCTCAGGGGTGCTGTATAAATGACGGACAATGTATATCTATGGTCGACCCCCCCCCCCCAGTTACGGGCCTGCTGCTCGCAAATGCACATTAAGTGGACAGCAATCCCGTATTCAGAAATATTAGAAATATTATATTCCCCTATCTAAAGATGTTCAATTCTCAACTTGGTATCTGTTTTAACCCGACCCCTACATTTAAATCAATCGATAAATAGGCAGTATTCAGTATATGTATACTTTGCCGTTAATTTAATCATTCCGATCTTTATAAACTTTATTAGGAATATTATTCTCCCCAATCTAAAGATGTCCAATTCTCAACTTGGTATCTGTTTTAACACTTCTATAACAATCGGTAAACAGGCCTAGAGACACTTTGGTTTAATGTCCTGTAAGAGAGTAGTTTGAGACCTATCAAAATCCAGACATTAGGATTATTTAACAAACTTCTCCCCATTCATTGCAATAAGGAAATTGTTAAATACAAGATTTAGACTAGACAGTGATGACGTTTCTAATGGAAAATGATAGTGTAAGAATATCGAGACAAACCCCCTAATGTCCTCGCACCCTATTACTAGTCACGATAGAACGGACAAACATAGCCTGTATTTGTGCTGCGAATTCAATATTGGAATTGGCGATAAAGACATTCATCCCCGGTTTCGATTTCTGTGTCGGCTTTGCCTAAACACTTGTTTACACATCACTTTCCGTAAATTCCCTTCTTTTCTTAATGCCCTTCTGTGGTGATCAATGATAGAGGGGTATTATACGCACGGCGATTGGGCTCTGATCATTTAAAAGCAAGTAGAATGGGTATTATCAGTTAATATACTGATTAGGTTCTTAACACTCTTTTTCTCAACTTAGTCCAGTCAATTATAGCCGGCATCCAGATAATTCTCTTCATTTAAACATGAAAATCAATGCAGAGAGAAAGAAGCGAAGGTTGGGAACCGGCAACAAAGCTTCATATCTTTAAATCTCCGTTAGAACCCACCGGCAACTTATGACGAGCTCTCAAACGGAAAATATAGTGATTGCAACAGATTCTATTCCCTCGAGGTCGACATTTTCTCTTTAAATCATGGCGCCCTTACTTGTTCGACCAAAGTTAAATCGCCAAAAGCCGGCTTCCCAATCTTCATTAACAGCATGAAAAGATTTTGCTCGTGGTCTTGCATAATCTATTCTAATTATGTTCCGTAACAATATCATATTCTATATTGTACGTTGCTAATAATCTTTTTACAAAATAATATAATATTGAAAAATATTTTTTTATTTCCCCTCAAAGATGTGTAGTAAAGTTCAGTAAAGTGATATATTGACTGCATTGTCATTATACAAGTAATTCAAACAAGAGCCCAGGTGGTTTATTTCTCAACTGTGCCTAGTATGTGTAATTAAGTCGCTGCAACATACCCCGACACCATTATATAAGAGCTAAATCTGTCTATTGCAGGTCTTTTTTCTAGATTATATAAATTATTATTATTCACATATCAACTCTCTAATGGGTTAGAACCCTCTCATTTAAAATTTAACGATAAATGGATAATCAAGACTTTGTTTATTATCGTAACAATGGTGCTCGACAATCGCGACTACACTTCGCTGAGCATTATGTAATTCGACTGAAATTTTCAATAATATATTCATTTCGCATTATCTATTTTTGAACTATCTAATTCTTACATAATGCATCTTTAAGTTATATCAGTATATTAAGGATTTCTCTAAATAAAGAGAGAGAGAGAGAGAGAGAGAGAGAGAGAGGGGGGGTTAACGTCCACTCGACACAGACTAGGTCATTTCGGGACTAACATATGGTTTTAATTTATTTCAATAATTCTCTTGCGCGTAGGGGTCTTCAGCAGTCGGAGAAAACCCGCGAGGTCGGACATGCAACCTTACTCCTTGTCACGTACAACCGGGAGATCGAAACCACGCCAGTTGACTCAATGAGTAATGACAGGCCTCATGATACAGCGCGCATGTGCTAACCATTCGGCCATTTAGCAATTTCGTCTAAACAAATTTTAATAGGCGTCACCCAGTCAACCTACCAACCAATCTGTGTGATCGTTAGATGATGCATATAAGAAAACCGGAGACATACAGATATATAGGCAGTATTACAGGGAGATGTTACAGGGATG